AGAAAAAGAAATAGAGTTTGTAAAATCATCCAGTGGCCCTTTGCATCTGAAATTAGATCAAAAGAGTATCTGCCCCACACTCACTGCGGTATGGGTGTGACGTGCAATCAGATCCTAGCCTCTTTGCTCCTGTCACAACATCCAAGGATTAAGATGCCAGTGGATACAATTCTGTATTCAAAGTCATTTCTTATTTCAGGGACTGCACATAAAGAACCCCTGATCACTTAACAATTACAAACTATCATTTTTAATGTCAAATATACTTGAGTTGTCCTTATAATATGCTAAGAAAAAAATTATGTAAAGTAAGTACTAGTTGAATATTTTAACATAAAAAGGTGCTATAAAGGAGTATCAGAATTAAGAGACTTTTATAACATTTTCTTTCTGAAACATAATCTCAAGGAGAACATTGACACTCATACATGTTTGCAGATATTTCTGTCTGTTTATAAAGGTTATTTGGAAACCTGTAACTCCAGGTCATTTCTGCTTTCTTTGCTTGCGTGGAAGATTGTGTAATGGAGTTAATTTAGACAACACGTGCAATATATGACTAGTGAGAATTTGTAAGTTCAGCCAAATTAAGAGTGTAGCCAAAGTCAACAGCTCCTCAAGCTAGTTTGATTTCAAAGGCACAAGCAATGTGTGAGTAAAACATCTAGTATCATTTGATTTTCTGCAGCTTTTCAGTTAACAAGTGTTTATATACATTTCAGCATACTCTCAATTTGTGATCAAATTTAATGAATGCAACTTTCAAATTTTGCAGTTATCAATATTAAAGTAATAAATACATGGTGATCAAAGGGGAGGGGTGGGGGAGAGTAGGTGGGGAGGGAGGGAGGAGGGGATTGAGGGGTATTATGATCAGTACACATGGTGTGGGGGGATCATGGGGAAGACAGTGCAGCACAAAGAAGACAAGTAGTGACTCTGTGGCATCTTACTACACTGATGGACAGTGATGCAATGGGGTATGGAAGGAGGCTCTATAATATAGGTGAATGTAGTTAAGCACATTGTTTTTCATGTGAAACCTTCAAGAGTATATATCAATGGTACCTTAATAAATACATACATACATACATACATACATACATGGTGATGAGGTAGTACATTCTAAAATGAACATCAATGGCTAAAATTTTTAAATTATGTGATGTTAATAAAATAAAAGCTCTTTTAAGGCTAGCAGTATGTGATCTAAAGATAAAATCTACAAGAAAAATCATATTATAAGCAATCAGATTACATGACAAGTAACCAGCATACCTTTTTGAGTCATCAAGTAGAACTCACAGGTTGAGGGGTTTCCACGTCTTCATAAAACAATGTTCTTCCTTATCTCTGAACTCCTACACAGGACCTACTACTGGGATTCAGACAATTCCAGGTGATTCCCATACTGACAGCTTCTCAGGAGGGCATTTTTTAGCCCTCTTCCTTGAATTCTGCCATGGGGCCCTGCCAGAACCACTCACTCCTGAAATGAATCAAGGCTGCCCCTTCTAGAACACTTTCCATCTTCTTCCTTCAGAACCCAAAGAAAATGTAAACATGTTTTTCTATCACCAGTATCAACTCTGTTGGCACTATTCTGGATCTCTCATTCTTAAAACATTAATGCATATACTCTTCCAATATTCAGAGGGTTCTTCATTCATCAATTTCATATTTATTAACTATTTACGAAGTGACTCCTACAATTAAGACATTGTTCGAAGTGCTAAGGATACAGCAGTGGATTAAAAAAAAATCCCTACTCTCACAAACTCAGTCTGAGAATCTGGGGTGATAACTTTAATTCATATATTTGGGCCCACAGAATGGAGGCTGCCCCAGTGGCTGGGACTATATGGCAAATAGAAACCTATGTCAGCCCACACTTATGGGAAACACCTGTCAAGGAAACCTAACACAGAGCAGTCCTCCAAGTCAGCTTTAGTTAGCTTATCTACCCAGAAATAGGACTTATAGGGAAACCCCAACCTGCCCTGTTTCCAGGTTGCCCCTTCTAATGCTCTATAAAACTTGCTTTTGCCCCAGGTTTCTCTGGAAGAGCGCCCACTACCTGTGAAGCACTGTGCTCCCCAGTCCATGGATGCTTTCCCTTGGATAAATGACATCAAATTCATTACTAAATTGTTTTAGTTTTGTTATTTGACTGGGGAGCAGGAAAACAATGTCCCAATGTTAGGAGATGAGTAAGGAAGTCAAATGAAGAAAAAAATATTAGGTATTGCTAATCCTATCATAAACAGGGTACGGTGACAGACAAGGGAATGATTTCAAATCCAGGCTTCAGGGAAGAAATCACATTTGAAGACAGATTCAGAATGACAAACCATAACAGAGTGACACTGACCACAGGTAACATGCTGTATGCCAAATACAGCATTCTAGTCTTAGGAGGCCCCCAATAAATATTAAGCCCAATAAGTTATACTGAAGATATGTATTCCTTATTGCAAATGAACCACACGTATTTTACAGAATATAGTCAGATTAGTTTGAGCTGCCATTGAACACCTCTGGACACACTATTTCAAACAGTAACATAGTGTAGGTGTCAACATATTTATATTTAAGACAGAGACTTACATATATTTATACTAGATTTTCAAGGGAAAAAAGATCTCCTAGCCTTGATGTTATTCTCATGTATTTTATAATATGCACACATGAAACATTTATTTGCATATAATTTTACTACATTAATAAAGGACTTCACTCCATGGAATATTAAATCTGACACTGATTTGTAGAAAGGAACATTTCCTTCTGCAAGATTTCACTTCATCCTACTACCTTCCATGCTCAAAAGCCGTGATCCAGTTACAAACTGTGGGCTGTGGAAGCAGGACCTCCATCATACTCAGCTGTGTTCATACTTTCACTTTTGAGCCTACTGCTATTCTGAATACTTATAGTATATACAGCTGCTGCTCTTTGATCAACATTGATTCTGATACAAAAGTCTATTTTTTATCATTCTTGATCCTAGGATAAAAACGATAAAATCTGTTAACATTAGAAGAAACAAGCCTTTCCCACAAAGACAAAAAAGAAAAACAAAGTAGGAAAGATAATAAATATGGAAACTACAATGTAGGCCCTTTCATAATTAACAGTGTTTTAAAAATGATACTGAAAGATGCACCATGCAGGTAAGGAAAATACAGACCAAAAAGCTAACACAAAGGCATACAAAATGACATATACTCATTTTAAAAACTCTTCTTTCCCCAAAGTTAAAGTGTGATAAGTCTCTGTCTTAAATATAATTGTGTTGACACCTACACTAACTATATGGCCTTAGTAGTACTAAGCCGGGTTTACACCAAAGAAGGTAAAGGACAGAGAAGAGAATTTTGGAAGGAAAAAGAGGCAGTTGCCCCACACCTTTAATCTCCTAGCTCTTAAACCGTTGTTGCCTCACACACATACTTTAATTCAATGGAAAGCCAATAAATGTGTGATACCTTTAAGTCCACGCTAATGAATTGGTAATTATTTATCAGGACTTCCAAAAAAGCAAATGGTTGTTATACAGTCAAAAAAACTGACTGACTACCATTCTTTCCTTGTAGCTTTCATTTGAGTAGCTCATGTCATAGGTAATCAACTAGTTAGTACTTCTAGGCAGTTTCCTTGAATGATTCCAAATGTCTCTGCTTCATTGTTAAGAAACATAATTTAACAGAGGAAACTTTAAAGACCGTTTTGGCTTTATTCAACAATTCAGGAATTGGGCAGCATCCCATCTAGAAAATGGAAAGGAGCTTCTAGGAAGCTGTACAAATGAGAGCTGGGCCTATTGCCTTGTTTTTAACAGTATAAAAGTATTTATTTAAAGAAAATAAGTTATCAAGTTCAAACTTTCTAAAAAAGCTTTTTTTCAGAGACCCAGGTCATGGCTATAAACTCTAAGAGGGCCAAATTGTCAAACTAGGTGGATTATAGCAAATTGTCAAACTAGGTGGATTATAGCAAATTGTTCTTTCTAGGCCATGCATGTAATTTTCCTGTGCTATACCCACACAGTTATACATATGCATTGGGGCTCCTTTTGCAAATCATTTACAGGAGTAAAAATGAAATAGAGGATTTCATTTAAAATGAAATAGAGGATTATAGGAAGTGCTTCTGTTTATGACATTAGACACATATTAATTTGCATCATTGATCAGGGACAAAAACTAAGATAAAAACATGATGCCCTAACAAACAAAAAGCAAACAAATCAATTAAAAAATGGGCAGAGGAGCTGAACAGACACTTCCCCAAAGAAGAAATTCAGATGGCCAACAGGCACATGAAAAGATGCACCACATCGCTAATCATCAGAGAAATGCTAATTAAAACCACAATGAGATATCACCTCACACCAGTTAGGATGGCCAACATCCAAAAAACAAACAACAAATCAGTTGGTGAGGTTGTGGAGAAAGGGTAACCCTCCTACACTGCTGGTGGGAATGTAAACTAGTTCAACCATTGTGGAAAGCAGTATGGTGGTTCCTCAAAAAACTAAAAATAGAAATACCATTTGACCCAGGAATTCCACTTCTAGGATTTTACCCTAAGAATGCAGGAGCCCAGTTTCAAAAAGACATATGCACACCTATGTTTATCGCAGCACTATTTACAAGAGCCAAGAAATGGAAGCAACCTAAGTGTCTATCAGCAGATGAATGGATAAAGAAGAGGTGGTACATATATACAATGGAATATTATTCAGCCGTAAGAAGAAAACAAATCCTACCATTAGCAACAACATGGATGGAGCTAGAGGGAATTATGCTCAGTGAAATAAGCCAGGCAGAGAAAGACAAGTATCAAATGATTTCACTCATTTGTGGAGTGTATGAACAAAGGAAAATCTGAAGGAACAGAACAGCAGCAGACTCACAGAACCTAAGAATGGATTAACAGGTACCAAAGGGAAAGGGACTGGGGAGGATGGGTGGGAAGGGAGGGATAAGGGGGAAAAGGGGCCATTATGATTAGCACACATAACGTAGGAGGGGGACACACAGGAAAGGCGGTATATACAGAGAAGACAAGTAATGATTCTATAATATCTTACTATGCTGATGGACAGTGACTGTAATGGGGTATGTGGGGAGGACTTGATAATAGGGGGAGTCTAGTAACTATAATGTTGTTTAAGTAATTGTACATTAATGATACCAAAATAAAAACAAAAACAAAGAAACAAAAAAACATGATGCCCTTTTTTCGACAAATGTTGTGACAAGTTTTTCAGAAATCCACTGTGGCAAAAAGTTAAAATGTGCACCTTTATTTTGGTGGAATAAAAACAAATAGTAAAGGGAAACACATAACACGGCTATCACTCAGTTCCTTCTCTGCCCATTGGAAAGGTGCATCACAGAAAAACTGAACCACAAGAAATCTGACTCATGCTTTGAAAATACCCTAATACACCACTCAAATAAAATTGTAAATCAAGGAAATTATGAAAAGGATTTTCAATGAGTTTCACTGAAAACATTCTTTATTGGTAATCAGATATTAAAACTTTTTGATTATACACATCATGCAAAACAACTGACCTAAAACATGGTTGTCTAACTTCACTGTAATCTTTCTTGAGATGAATATCTATTTTAAAAGTTACAGTGATTTCAATAGTAAAAAGAATCCAGGAAAACAACTCTAAATGAAGCAGAACACTCTGTAGTGTATGTGAAAGGATTGCTCATCCCTTCTGGATATTTAGTTTTCCCTCCTAATGCTAATCTCTGATGTTGGAAGACTGTTATATACAAAAATGGCAGATATTTTTGGGTATCTATAGGCACTCCATCTAAATGATAAAAATAAACTACAAGAATACAATTTCAAATAATTTTACAGTGTTTGGTTAATTTCTTATCTATTTTACTAATGTCAAACAGGGCAATGCCTTTGCATTTAAAATGTTCATTTGTTTTGAAAGATTATTCCCTAACAAGATGCTTCTTCTCCTGTGAAAATGGAGTTTATCCCTGGTATTATTTTTGAACTGAGACTGACTTTTCAAATGGCTATTTATATAACAGTTTCCAAATTGTTTTCAGTTGTGGAAAGGAACAGAGCTTCCTATTCTGAAGGGGAGACACAGGAATGATCCTCATACTCAGTATTATGACACTGAGAAAAAGGGTTTCCTGTGGTGGTGGGACTAGTACTTTCCATCCTCTGGTGATTCTGGTAGCACTCCTGGTACTACCAGGAAATGCCTAAAAGGTAAATTCCTCCTTGAAAAAACCAGAGGGAGGTGAATTGGCACTTTCAAGTCTATTGGCAGTGAGCAGGTATGGCAGACTTTTCTAGATACCTGGAAATGCTGCTGTAACAATACCAAAAACACAGATATCACTTTGGAATTGGGGGGTCAGGAGGTAGAAGTTGGAAGAATTTTTAGGAGCATGACAGAAAGGGTGAAGATTGCCTTGAACACTGTTAGTAAATAGATGGACGTTGGAGCCAGTGAGGGCTTGCAGGAAGTAAGAAGCATGGTACAGAATACCTAAATTGCCACAGATTCCAAATTATCATGAACAGACTGCTAGTAGAAATGTATACATTAAAGGTGTTGCCAGTGAGGGCTCAGAAGGAAATGAGGCACATGCTGTTGGTAACTGAAGGAAAGAGGTTCTAGTTACATAGTGGCAAAAAGCTTAGCTGAATTGTGTCTGCAGTTATGTGGGAAGCAAAAGTTTTTAAAGTGATAAACCTAAGATAATTAGCTGAAGACATTTCTAAGCAAACTTAGAAGCTTGGAAGGTCTGCTTTCTTCTTGCTGATTATATCAAAATATGAGAGGAGATTGATAAATTGAGGACAGATCTGTTAAAAATAAAGGAAATAAGACCTGATGACTGGGAAATTCTTAGCCACCTAAACAGCAAAAGACATTAAAATGGAAGAGATTCACTGTCAGGAAAGCCTGCTCTCGGGCAGGAGATGTGGGTATGGCTCTGCAACTTTTGCTAAAACCTGAGAAAGATCCAAAAGGTCAGAGTATTCAGGCACACAAAAGGCTCTTTGAAGAGATTCAGGGTGTGACTCATAGCTCCTCTCAGCCATCTGAGAAAAGGCCCAACATAGAGATGGGTTATTTAGGAAAGCTCTGTGGAGGGTCCCTGCTCTAATGCAGTGAATCTCTGTAACATACAGAAGATCACGTTTCTTGGGAATGCGATATCAGCCAGTCTTTGCCATCTTAAACTGAAAGGGAGAGATAGTATGAAGTGAAAGAGGATGGTTGGACCTGCAATTCCATAAGCAAGAAAGCTGAGGAAGCTACTCAGCTGAGAACACGTGCTACCTTTCCAAAAGGAAAGATGACTGCCAGGGTGTCACAGGCCTAGAGGACGATGCTGAGTCCCAGACCATTCCCAGGCTTTGAAACCCCACGGACTGTGCTGGGCTGGATTTCTAACTGCTTGGCACTTACGGCTCCATTTTTCATTCCAATTTGTTTTTTGTTTTTGACCAAGAATATCTATACCTGCTATTCTATACTATAGTATCACTGTATTTGGGAGCAGAAAACTGGTTTCCAGGTTCACAGGCACATACAGGAAAAGGAACTGTGTCCCAGGAATCATACCCAGTTCATCACTCATACTTGATTTTAAGTGATTTGAATGAGATTTGGGATTTATGAGCTGGTGAGATCCAGGTAAGATTTTAGACTTCAAGTTGATGCTGTAATAGGTTGTCTTTTAAGCACCTTTGGATGGGGTGGCTTTATTTGCGATGGATGTGAATCCCTGTGGAAGCAAACTGAGGTAGACCAAATGGCTCCCCCACAACATTCATGTTCTAATCCCCAAACCTGTGAGTTTGTTACTTTATGTAGTAAAAGAGATTTTTCAGATGTGATTAAGTTAAGCATTTCCAGATGAGATAATCCCAGATTATCTAGGTGAACCAAATGTAACCTCAACAGTCCTCATATGAGGAAAGCAGAATTAAAGTTGGTAGTAAAAGATGCAAGGTCAGAAGCAGAGATTGCAGGGACACAGCCACAAGTGAGGGGAGGCCAAGGGCCTCTGCAAGCTGGAAGACACAAAAAACAGGCCCACCCCTGGACCAAAAATGAAACGGTGTCTGGGAGGAAGAAAAAGCTTTCTATCATTTTGATTTTGCCTGCCTCATTCAGGAAATTCTCAGCTTCTATAGAAATGCAAACTTTTATGCTGGTAATTCTTTAGATCCAGTCTGTCTGAATTTACATTCTACACTTGATTTGTCCTGGAGTAGAAAACACTCTGTGTTGAACACTTAGAACAGTGTTCAGTATATATGGTGGATTCAGTAGAAAAATGTGTCGAATGAATAAATGAATGCGATAAACACAGGCTCTGGGAGGGATTATAATGACTCTAAAGTGCTTTTTAACACATCCTCTCAGAACTGGTGATCTTTATGTCTTTGTGATTAGTTTAAGACAGTCATAGTTCTGTAAAATACAAGGCCAAACTGAATTTTTTGACACTAATAATATAGCCCAATCACTAGGTAAAAAGGATGCACAAAATCTTAATAGGAGAAATAATTATTGTATGATCAAAGTATTTCAAAATCAGAATACAAATGTTTTATTATATACCATGGAAAATTTTTAAATTATTTGATCAATAGATTTCTTAATGGATGTTGATCAAGGCAGCATCAGGAAACTTCAGCATGAATTTTACCAAATGCATTTATCAAAATGGGGTTTTGTTCATTTTCTCTGTAAACAAATATTGTTACATTAACACTGAGCATGTAACAAATTGGTATGCCTAAATATTTATAAACTATCAACATAAACCAGCCCTGCAACTAAAAATTCAAACATATTTCTCTCAAGATCTGTTTCTACTCCAAGTTGATCTATACTAAGGCTGAAAGACAGAATCAGAATAAAACCAAATTTGTCTATATAAATAATAAAAATAACTTTTTTATGCTACAAGTATTTTCCTTATTAATATGGCACATTATTTTACTACATGCTGCTGCATGGACAGGAGCAATCTCACTTTAACTGCTGGAGTACCACAGTGTTAAGAATATCCGCTTCTTGTAGTGTCAGGTTTTCATCAGTTAGCTCTTTGTTTGGAAATGAAGTCGCAAGAATAAAGTCAAGAGCTGCAAATTCAGGACGGGACCGTACGATAAAGTCTCGAACATCCAGGATCCTGAAGGTACAATATAAAAATAATTTATGATATAAAAGGTTTATCACCATGTAAGCTTTTAGTTACAATTAAATAATAAAAATAAAAATTACCCAATTCTAATCCTTATTTAAAAGTGTTGTAAGTTCAAAAAAATTTAGATTACTTCAATGGATGGATTTATCTTGGCTTTAAGATAACATGTGAGGATTAGATTGGAGTGTACCTGATACTTATTCCTGCTGCTAACAGAGAAACTTTACGTGAGTTACGAATAAAATTCAGTGTCAACAATGTTGACAAAGTGCAGGTCCTACTATTTTGAGTATAAAATGTTTTAGCAGCACATGGTCCAGAATAAGGTACCTTCGATTGGCCTATCTGTGTCAAGGTGAGTTTATAACCAAGAAATGCTTAAGTCATAAGGATAAATTTTATAAATTACTTCCACATGCACATAGTAACTCAACTAAGATGATAAATGTATCCCTTAAGAGAGATACAATGCAAAAATCATGTCTCATTAACACATCAAATGTACAAATGAATGTTAAAATATTTAAAACTTTATTTGAAGTATTTGACAACAGCATAATTAAACTTCATTTAAGCTACATATTTATGTTGTACGGAATTTACTATGTAGAAAGTTAATTCCAATCAGAATTATCATAAATTTAAAAATGAGTAAAGTTCAAATAAGGTTTTACTATAAAAAATGAAACCTGATTCCACATTGCATGGTTTTAGCAATAGCACATAACTGCACTTTTAGCAATTATCTTTATTTTTGAGGGATATCTGAATTTGCATTTATATCTGGACAGTTTACAGAGGATGCTTACGTACTAAATATGTCACTTCTTTTTACACAGCTATTATTTTTTTAAAGTTTTCTCTTCTGCAAAAATTTACTTCAAAAGTAAATCTAAAGAATTCCTCTTCTACATTACTCAGATCATACCTTTTTACACAGATCATTAGCCATGTGTCTGAAAGCAAATGAACTTACCTGTGTGTACTATTGAATCTCTGAATCAAGCGGCTCCCATCTGCTAACCGGACCTGAATTTTGGTTGTTGGCACTGAATCATCGACAGGGACAGCTGCATTCAGTATTGACCTCTCCTCCTCTTCTGGGGAGGAAGGCGTGCTGACTATCTCAGGGGTAAGGCTGAGTGAGACACAGGGGTCAAAGAATTAGAACACAAATCTGAATACCTAAGACATAGGATCAACTGAAGACAGAATAAACCACTTAGATCTGTAGCCACTTCTCCAGTTACCCCACCTGAGATTTCTGGGCTCCCAAGAACATGACTTCCTTTGACTCTCCGATACTTCTCACCTCTTTCACTATATTAAATTATTTTCAGATCTGACAATTCTGATTTAGGTTATCTAATCTCTTTCAAAAGCCTAACTTTGTATTCTTTCCTCTTTTACCCCTTTGAAATTTCATGAGACTGTTTAGCACATCACAGAAATCTGAGCAACTTTGGGTTATTTGTGAAAGAATGACTAAGACAGGGTCAGACTTGGTTTCAAGTCCCAGCTATGTCCATTGTGTAAACCTGAATAAGTACACTCTTTGAATCTCGATATTCTATAGCTCATAAAATTGGGGGAAATAACACTATGTTACATAGATACGTAACACCACTCAGTCCTTACTATGGTGTCTACAACAGGATTTCAATAGGTGCCAGCTACTTTTGTGCATATTATCACCACTAAATTATTAATTTAAACTTAATATTTAAAAACAAATGATTTAAGTAGTTACTGCTTTATAAAAGAGAAGTAACTCCTAAGTGTGTGTTAGTGAGGAATGAAACTTTTTGTACAGTGATGAATTTATAGTGGAGCCTATTTGATAGGACATCTTACCATTGGATTTTAATCACCGGTGACCCCTGGCATTGCTTTCCTCCTGCTTCCTAACGCTGGCAGGATGACTCATCATTGTAAGCCAAACAGGAATGTCAAAAATAGAGTGTTCTTTTTGTTAAGAAACTGAAACAAATTCAGCCAAATTCTTTATTTCATAAGACATCAAATCTTAGTCTTCTCTCAGTCATCTTAAAGGCTTCTTTGACAGTCTTGATGTTTATTCTCTCAGACTCTAAGATTTAGATGGCTTCCTCTAATTTATTTTCTTTTGAAAAAATAAGAGAAATATATATTTATTAGTAAGAAAAGTCCTATAAGCATTTGAGCTTTTGTCTAGTGTAAACCTAGCTCATCAAGACTCTTACTACCCAAGAAGATTCTTGGAATATATGGTAAAGTAGCAAAATTAACTGGTATTTACTGCTAACACTTCCTCTTTCTTTAGCTATTTCCTGACAGGTATTTCAGAACTGACTTCAGAATATACATGATATAAAGATGAAAAGAAAACGATGGTTTTGCAATCACTGATCAGGTATTATTAAGGAATTTTCTTTCACATTTGGGCTTAAATAGTTGCATGGCCAAGCTGGTTTACTATGCCAATAGTCCAGTGTCCCTTACAAAGGGAGAGAGACAAAAACCACTAAGAAGGGAAACGAGACAGTGAATGCAAACAGACTCTACCTTCTACCTCTGGCTCCCCGATAAGCAGGTACTACCTTATTGTTACCATGATCACGCCACTGTCCCGCCTCTATCGCATTTACTTCCTTCCAATCATGGTGTGAGGAGGCAGTGCTGCTTCACAGTGAGCAATGGCATAGAGTCAGGAGGCTGACTGCCACTCATTAGGTGTGTGGCCCTGGGCAAGTCACTTAACCTCTGTGTGCCCGTTTCCTCATTTGTACAACAGAGACAACAGCAGCACTGCTGTAAAGGTTAAATTGTTTAGGACATACAAGCACTTCAAAGAGTGCCTTTACAGTTGGCACTGCCTCAACGTTGGCCATTCACAGTGTCCAGGTATCCTAACAACAGCTAGATGGCAAAGTCTCCCCTACTCTCCCTAGTGCCAGGTGAGAATACCAAGGTTCATTCTGAGGTCCTTCCCAGAGTCGCCTCGTATTGCTGCTTCTGCACTTTAGTGCTCTCAGTTTAAAACAGATTCTGACCAGGTAAGCTTCTTCTCCAGCATAAACTAGAGTACAGGGCTGGGAAACCAGGTAAGGAAAGCCTGTTCATGCCTCTCCTTGTAAGATGTGCATATGTCAAAATGAAACTATATGGAATAGTAACATTTGAGGACTGTGGAGGCTAAGGAAGGCCAACCACATTATTTATTTTATACAAAAAGAAGATGGAGTAATAGAGATTGAAAGATATGCTCAGAGCCACAGAGATAGGTAATGAGCAAACTGGTTAGTGTGGTATATAAAACCATTAAAAAAACTACATTAATGTTAATATTTAGCTTTCAAAGTCTCACCAGTTTGCTACTTAAAACTTTCTCCTTTTCAATTGATCAAAACATACTGACATTTTTAATACACTGTTTGAATGTTTCAAGTATTACATTAAAAAGCAAATTTTAAAAAAGGAAAAGAGGAAAGTAAACTGATAAACAAGCTTTCTAGACAAACTGGAGGAAAGTATGTAGACTGTAAGTGGAGTGATTCCCTCAGACAGCAGGAGAAACCATTTTCAAATGTAAAAGAGGGAGGTAAGGATGGACTTTGATAAACTTAGAGGCTTAAAGGGACTATATTAAGAAAGTTCATTCTTGTCAGACTCTATTCAGTGAAGCTGGAAGCAAACCCATCTGCTAAGAGTGAGGAGTGGGACAGCAGGGGCCTAAGGAAAGCAGGAATGTCTGGGACGCGCCCTGCAGGAGGGTAGGTGCAGCCGGCCCCCCAGCTGGGGTGTGTGAACAGCCCCAGCAGCACCACACTGCATGCACAGACAAACCCAATGGCTGCACAGAAGGTAAGGGGGCTGCACCTGCAGGGCTAAGACAGTGACGGAAAGGAAGGTAGGAAGGGGCTGTCAGACTTCAAAGAAAGGCCTCAATGGTCCATGGGCCAAGATGAAGTCAAAGCTTGGGTGTCGTGCCCAGAATAGGTGAGTGGCAAATGCAATCTTTTTGGACTGCACAATGTATGACAAAAAGGCAGTAAGATTCCCTTAGGATTGTTCTTAAGCAGAGAGATTTACTTCAAATCATGACTTTTACCCTCATACTTGGCAGTTCATTTATCTACAGTGAATGCTGACTTGTTAGCCTTGCCTATCAAAAATAATTCTGTGATTTTCTGGGTCTTTTATTTGTTGGGCTCTACCCTAGCTCATCAAGCTCATTTTTATTCAATAATACAGTTTGTTCTACCACAGTAAATTTGCAGTTTTACAACTATGATTTACTTGCTCCTATTATATTGTATGAGGGTACTCAGTAATATTTTTATTGCTTTCAGGTTTATCCCATAATTATCTGTATATCACAATAAAAAATTAAGTTTTCCATCTGTGTAATATTCTTTTTGCAATTAGACTGCCATTTCTGTCTTGTTTGCTTCTTTTTAATTATTTCTCTGTTTGGTAAATAGTTGTCTAGAACTCTTGGGAAATGAGCCATTTTAGAAAATTACTTTCTGGATAAAGGTTAACTGTTAGAACTTTAATATTTTAATATATCTTAATGTAAAAGCCTTCTAAATGTTCTATGTAACACTTCACTTTCTTAGAATATATATATTCAACTATTTAACATTTGGATTTGTGTGCATTATATAGGCTCACAACACCATGCTGATCTCCTAGTGTAAATTTCCTACACATTTGAAGCTGAAAATTGTACATTACTACATTACTCAGACTACCTTGCAACTAGGATTTTATATGATACCACCCTCTCCCACCAAGCAAATAAATACATACTTATGTGGTGAAAGAAGTAATGTGAAGTGAAAGTTATGCAGCTCTTCTGGTTACCAAGGTGTTGGAGACATTTGATACTCCTAGAGCAGTCATGATGGAGTGATCTAGTGTCTGGCCCTGAGCTTCATGGGACTGAAGTACTGAGCAACTCGATGGGGGTTCAGGAGATGTTCTCTCTAGCAAGTTCTATTTCTCCTGACTAAGTGAAAGTTGGTTTGCTATCTCTTCCAGAAATTCTATAAACTACTGATGGCTCTGTAATGAATCCCTTACAATTTAAACTAGCAAGTGGATTCTGTTTTCTATAGTCAAATACCCTCACCAATATGGTAATGATTAACACAGCATTATCACCAATTATCTTCGTCATTTTCCTTTTTTTTTTGGTCATTTTCTCTAGCTATTCACCTGAAAAGGAAAAAGGCTGGCCTTTGTAAGATAATGAGATAATATCCTTATTTTCATGAGTTGAAATTGCCAATTATAATCACTGGCCCTTTTCAGCTATCTTATCTTATCTTTATGCTACCTTCTTTAATTTCAATTCTAGATTCACTGTACTTCTCCTAACAAAGATGTGCATACTAACATTAATTACCAGTCACAAATTTAAATAATAGACAAAGAATATGTATGAAGCAAAGAAATGTCTGGGTATTCTGTGTTCTAATTAAAAATTAATCTCAATATATACATTAAAAAAAATGAGAAGTGCTAGAAAATATTTAAATATATCTGGGGGTCATAGTTGTAAAAACAAAAGGAGGGAAGAAAGAAAAATTCAAGAGAAGTCTGACCTGTATTTGTAGTAAAGACAGATGATGGAGAAAAGTTCCAAGTAAACCTGTGAATCGGCACTGAAGGATTTGGGTCCTAAGAAAAGCCAGGTAAACACATGTTGCTAAATTCTCTACATACCTCAGAAATCAATCTCTATCAGGAGAAAAGGAAACATAGGGAGACTAGAGATATAAAAGACAATTGTAAAGAACTGATATCAAATTCTTTTCTGTTTTGAGAAATGAGAGGGGAATGAAGAACCAGTGTTCACATGGCAACGGAAAAGAACCTGGAAAGGAAGAAATCACATGAAAGGAACTTGAGGGTAGGCTGGGTACACGGCCAGTGCCACAATTTCACAGAAAGTAATATGTGGACAAATGGAGGGTAACTTTCACCAACGTATTTTACAAAGATTTATGAAGATTCTGTTAAGTCATGGCTATTATAAAGGAGTCTATTCATATACCATGCACCTTGGTTCCTAAATTACAGTCAGCAAAGACCAAGGGGTTCTTTGGAAATTTCTCAGAGGCAATTCCTTCTCTCTCCTATAATCAGAGCCCAGGTTTTATATGTGTTTTACATACTTTGCTTTCAAAACTTGACGAGTTTGGCTGCTTAAAGTACAATGAAAACAACCAACTTAAGCACACTAGTCTTGCTGCAAGAGCTTAACAAGAACTTATCACAGACATACATGCTTAGAGCTGTGATCTAAGACATCCATCTTTTATCTAATCAACACCCTTTTCAATTTCCCCTTTGGAACTCATGTCACCAGAAAGACACAGGATGGCAGTGGTAAAGAGCACAGACTCTGGAGCCAGAGTGCCTGATTTGAATCCTACATGCTACCTACTTCTTAGCTCAACCACCTTGGGCAAGGTACTGCATCTGCAAATGGAGTAACAACAGGAGAACATCAGAAGACTGTAAGGTTATTGTGAAAATTAAGTGAGTTGATGTACGTTTAAAGCCTTTAGAGGGCTGGGATTGTGGTAACTGTTATCTACGTATTAGCTACTAATATTGTCACCAGATTTGCATATCTAATTCCATCAGTAACATCTTCCTAGTTCATATTTCAGGTTTTACTTTCTAGGTAATTTTTTTTTTTTCTTCTCAAAGAAAATTCATGTTTAACAAAAATAAGCATTTTCCTCATTTTAGGATTTTACCTTCCAAGTTTTTGTCCTTCTCCACTAAAAGCCTTGAACCTCAACCTGGGTCTTATATATTCTTGATCCTGATGATCTTCCATATCCAAATTCACTTGGCCACCATGAACCAGTCGCTGAAGCTCCAGGGGAATCTCTCTTTTAAAAAGGAAACAAAGCTTTAGTTAACTCTTTGATTCTCAACATAGAGGTTGTTTTGTTGTCATAGTGATTTTGGAGTGCTTCTGCCATTTAGAGAGTCAAATTGTAAGAGCAATTTAAACCTAACGCAGCACTAGAAAGTGCCTGAGGACATAACAGTTAATGCAGATATTTATTTCTAAACTCTCTGGGGGAAGTTTTGAAACTTGTGTGTTTTGATTGTTGTGTGATTCATGAGTCCTGCCCTCGTTCAGAGTCAGGACCAGAGATATGAGATACTCTGTCATGGGGGATTCATTGTGCACAATGGAGGCTTGTCTTTGGTGCCAAAGAACCATTGAATGTCCTTCTAGAGATTTGTAAGGATGACAACACTTGGTAATGTCTGAGCCTAAAACTTAAGGCTTAGGCTGTGCCTTACACATATGCAAAATCTTTTCTTGGGAGGGGCAGGAGGCATTATTCTATTAACATACTTGGTAATTTCCAGGAATGCACCTACCATATAAACTAAGGAAAGATTATACTTTGTTTTGTTTGGAACTTTACCAAGTCTTTGACTACAATGCCATGTATAGTAATTAAGTGGCCAACTTTACATACCTCGTTATTCTCTTTTTATGTTTGTTGCATTTACAGGAGAAATGCTAGATTGCATGTAGGTACAAACTCTCTGACTACTTCATTACATCTTCTGGTGTGATCATACCTGGGCATTTATAAATTGAAATATGTATAATTTCATGATAAACTTAATTATTTCTTCAACATATTTAAAACAATTTTTATATCTTTTTGGAAATGATATGAATAGATAAATTATATTATCTATGAGTTGTCTGAGGATAGTGAAGATGGTGTTACAAAATACTTGTTGCAAAATGATTGATTATATGGTTGACAGCCCCTATCTGACATCAATCTTTTTTTCAAGGAATCTTTCCTAAAACTGTTCTTGATCATAATTGTACTTGAGGAAATGATATAGCTCAAATTTAAAAAATCTTTTCATACACTGTGAATGAACATTAGCCTACAAAGCTTATGAATTATTTTTAATATAATTTCAAATTCCTTTTGATGTATTTGATGGTGTAACTATCATCAGTGTGTTCATTTCTTCCACCATCTTGAAATAAACATTGATTTCAATAGTACTGCTGATCTTCACATAGCAGACACCTCTCCTACCCAGCTCTTCCCAGTGACTCCACAGGTTTTCAAGTGCACAACACAGACTTAAATTATTGTATCCTTTTAATTAGCACTGCCATATATACTGCTTCCTAGAACAGCTTTCAGCCTTTCTCCATGACTTCACCATACCGCTTATGCATTACTTGTTTTTTTTTCTGGTATTCTGACATTATCTTTGTAAACTTCAGATTAAAAATTCACGCCAATTAATGTTCTAAAGTACCCTTCCTTTAGAGTTCCTTGACCACTGCAACTCCAGTGAGTTGTATCTCTACTCTATGTCAACCACTCTCGTTGGACAAATTTCATCATATGGAAAAGCCTTGCCTTCAATTTCCTTCTCCAGGCCCTTCACTGCTATTTACATCTCCCAGTTCATCACCAGCCATATGGTTTTAGTTGTATTTCTACTTAGAAATGATCACTGTCAGCTAGTGAAAACATAATGCAGAAAAGCTTTTATAATCATAGCTAAGTCACTTGATTCCTCTTCTTTGGCAAGAAGGGATGGTGAGTTATGACATTCTCTAGATGGGTCAAAGCACTATATATCTGGTTTACTTTTAAAAATTATAACATCAACTAACCTTTTGAAATATTCCGCTAGCAGTAATGCCACTTAAAAAGATTTCTAATATAAGTTACTGAATTTCAGGCATGTATGCAATGTCAGTCACCTGTCAACAGTGATCAGGACAGTGGCTTATTAGTGGAGGGGCAGCTACACGCCAATCAATTCACAGACTTATTACACTGAGATGTTCTTCTTGGAATTGGGACCACAGCTTCATCACATTTTTAAATGGAATGATGTCTACTACCCCTCCCCTCTAAGTTAGGAACTAGTAACTTACAGATAGCAATATATCCTTTATATATTTGAAAATATTCTTCCTCCTAGCAGCCACTTACATAATATATTCCAGTATCCAAATCTTATTAAAAACCAGTAGTGTACTACTGAACGGCAGGCAGTCTGTTAAAAAATACAGTCCCAACTTAAGCAACAAATAAAATACAAATAATCCATCTTACCCTTTCTTTACAGACTCCAGAAACTGAGCATTTGGTGGGTCACTGTAAGGTCTCAATTCTCCATCATCTAAACTGAAACCATTGCTCCACAGTTTAAGCAAAATCTGAACCTTTTGAACATACGAAATAAAAGAAATACAAGAATCTATCTGCACCCAACAATTTTCAGTCTTAAATTGTGGTATTTCACAACATATTAAAACATTTACTTTATTTAAAATATGGAGTTATTGGTCCTATTGTTTATTCATAGTTCAAAGACATAAATGAAACCATGTGTGTTTGTTAAGCAGATTTACATTTTGCTTAACAACTGACAATGTCTGAAATACCAAAGGTCCCACAGTTGGACCCTTGCCTTTAAGTAAAATTATTTCTGGTTCATTGAGAAAATGAAAACAGTGAGAGCATCCAGCTACACCCATCCTTCTCATTCCTCTTTGCCACAGAGCTTAAATATTCATGCCAAGGAGCATGACAGAATTTCCAGTGACCCTCCTATGCATGTTTTAAATAATATTCTAAATCCAACATTTCAAAAGGCAAAGCACACAATGACTTTAGGTGTTTCTACGTTTACATCTCAGCTAATTCTATATTATGACAGTTTGCTATTTATAATAATTATAACAACATGTATATAAGCTCTTTTTGACAGTGAACCATACATTCTTTCAACAAATAGGGATCTCTTTGTGCAAGGCACAATTGAGATGTATAAAATTTGAGACTGAAAACTTACATATTAGTCCTTTAATTCATGTTTCAAAAAAATAACAAAAATATTATATTTATATTATTAATTTTTAAATTGTAAACAAACAATAGTAACTGGAAGCAAAGATCTACAATTTTTCATTTGGACTACTTACATCTTGTAGCTGATTTTCTCCATAGATATATTCAGAACGCTTACAAAAAGAATTACCCAATCTATATCCTCCACCTGTAAATGACTGAAATAGAAAATAAGCTAATAATATACTAAGGCTATAAGCAAAATGTTATGATGATGTGTGATATATATTTTAAAACAAGATCAACTGTAATTAGCCAAACTGATTTATACTCAGGAAAATTTTATATTAAACTGAAGGTCTTGTATTACAGATAAGTATACTCAAGTAAGAAACTATGTTTCTTCCCATAAAAAAGTGACTCAGAAGCTGAAATAATTATGGCCAATCTTAAATTAAGAAATGCACTTATACAATGAAATGTTTTCAAATATGAACACAATTTAAAAATCTACCATTAAATTTTATGATATCTTACAGGAAAAATTACAATGCTTAAATCATATTTTATAAAGCCAGTAAGAGTTTCATAAAGGAAGAATTTAAAAAATGGGCAAAAATCCCCCTAAAGAAAGGATCCACTTATTTTATAAGCTGCTTTTATTCAACTGTAATAAATCCACTATGACTGCATCTTTCATTTTGTTATACTAATTACAAGGTCTTCTATCTGGCAGGTGGGATAGCTTATAAGGTAAAAATGTCATTCCTTTTAATAACCATTCATTTCCTAAATGAGCTTTCAACTATCACATCTTCTTTCTTATAGACTACATTATATCAAATCCACATTTTCTTATGCAATTGAAGAACTTCCAAGAACCCAAATTACCTTAGATTTACATGAAAGAGAATTGCAAGCTGTTGGTAAATGATGAAATGAAAACCAAAATTTGTTTCATTTAGAAGAGTTGTTCTCAGTAGTGGTTCTCAACAGTAGATGTCTGTCACAATTACCAGACAGGCTTTTCCAAAAGACACATGCACAGGCACACTGAAAATCTACTGTACTGCAAGACCTAAAGCCATGTGTGGTTTAGAAAACCTCCCTAAATGATTTTGATGAGGGAACTCAGGCTGGAAATGCTAATTATAAGAACATATGACAGTTATACACAAAGACAGTTGAATATCCTAGTCTTGTAAAATATACTAGTACTGTGACAATTGATGTGGTTATAAAAGCTGTATAGAAGTTTTATAGAAATTTAAGAAGGCACAAAAGCAACTCAATAGAGAAAGGAGAGTCTTTTCAACAAATGATAGTGAAGCAAGTGGAAATCTACAGGTAGAATGATGAACCTCAAAGTAAGCCTTATGTGAAATTAACTCAAAATGGATCACACATTTAAATGTAAAATGCAAAACTATAAAAAACTTTTCTAGGTAATGTAGGAGAAAATCTTCAAGACCTGCAGTTAGAATAAAGAATTCTTAGATAAGACATCAAAAGCATAATCCATAAAAAAAAAAAAAAGAAGAAGAATTGGACCTTTTCAAAATTAAAAACATTTGCTGTGATAAACCCTGGATAAAAAGACAAGCTACAATTTAGGAGAAAATATCTGCAAATTATGTATCTGACAAAAGACTCACACCTATTAAGATATATAAAGAACTCTCAAAATGAAAGAATATCAAAACAATTTGAAAATGGGCAAAAAGTCATTTTATTGAAGGGTTAATAAAGATGATGGCAAATAAACATATGAAAAGATGTTCAACATCACTAGCCACTAGAAAAATGCAAATTAACATCATCAGCCATTAGGGAAATGCAAATTAAAATCACAGTGAGTTATCACTATACATTTACAAAAATGGCTAAATTTAAAAACAATACCAAATGCAGGTAAAGATGGTGAGAAACTAGATCTCTCACACACTGTGGAAAATAGTTTGGTAGTTTATTAAAAAACTAAACATGTATCTATCCTACAACCCAGCAATAGTACTCTTGGGCACTTGTCCCAATAAAAGGGAAACTAAAACATAAAATCCATGTAAAAATCTGTACACAATTACTCATAGCAGCTTTACTTCTAAGTCAAAAACTGGAAACACCTAAAATGTCCCTCAACAAGAGAATGGTTAATCAAACTGTGGTACATCCATACCATGGAGTGCTACTCAGGAATAAAAAAATAACTACCGGTACACTCAGTAACTTTGATCAAGCTCTTGAGCATTAAGCTAAGTGAAAAAAGCTACCCCAAAAATGTAACATACTATATGATTTCATTTGCATAAAAGTCTCCATATTACAAAATTACACAAATGGAGAACAGCTTAGTGGTGGCCAGACATTAGAGATGGTGAAGGAGGGGGCAATGGGTGTGACTACAAAGGGGGCTCCCTACCCTGAGGGAGATCTTAGTGATGATAGAAGAGTATCCTGACTGATCTGGATTACAAAAACAAACATATGTCATAAAATGTGGAACTATGTACACACACTCCACCAGTGTCAAATGCCTGGCTCTGCTATTGTACAATAATTATATAAGATGTAACCACTGGGAGAAACTGGGTGCAAGCTACTTAGAACCTCTCTGTATTCTTTCTGCAGTCCTGTGAATAATACTTATTTCAAAATAAAAAGGTAAATGAAGTTTCATAGAAATGTAAGAAACTACCTTAATTTTGAACCATTAATAGAAAGATTATAATCTCATAAAGATAAAATTTTGAAACAGAAATAAACACATAGAAAGTGTTTGTATATAATACAAAATCCTATAGAGGAGATCATATATATAAATAGAGTATTGAGTTTTAAAATGTACCACTTACCTTGGATTTGTCATCACCTGAAGCTCTTGAGGCTTCACTCAGAGGGACAGCTCCATGTTCCCTTGCCTCTTTGAAAAGTTCATTCACAATTTTCTCAGCTGATGGCTGAACTATATGTAATCCACTGTATTCATGTCCACTTGAGTAGATCCTTTAAACATTACAGTTGATGAATAAAAACTTAGAATACAAATAATTTTAAAGCAAAAAGCTACAGTCTTAGGAAATAACTTTTGTTTAAAAAGAGCCATTGCTATAACTTCCAATTTAGGCACTTTTGTTGTGGTGGGGAGAGTATCTACAACCAGAAGTTAAGTCTCTCCCCCTCAGAAATCCATATTAAGTAGGGACCCAGTTAGTGGAAGAAACTTCTAGATTTAGATAGTGTAAACATCTAATTCTAGACCACAGGGCGACACATACAGAATTTACACCTCAGAGATTTTTGGATTGAAAAATTATAACCCCCTGTGTTAAAATTAAGTAATTCAGACCACTAACAATTCTTTCAGTGTATTTGTTAGATCGGGACTAATTTCTACTCTAACTCCAAAAGCATAATGGTCCTAGGGGACACAAATATTTCCTTTGCACAAGATTAGTACCCTATTTTATTTTTCAAGATTTTTTTCCAATCAAGACTATCAGAAAATATAACCAACAAAGTATCAATGTGGAGATTTTCAGAGTAAGGTAACAATCAAAGCTTGTATGTTTGACTCCTCCTCCATCCTGCTAGTGGTCTGGGGACGTACGCAGAAGCTGAGTTTACCCAGAGCAGGAGCCAATGGAAGCCTCAGAGGGCCCAGTGTAGCAAGCAAGGCCAAACACTGCCACAGCTGGCTCTTAAGACAACTGATGGTGTTAGGAGCTTGACAGCAGATGATTTAAGGCAGCTATGAGAAAGGAAAGGAAGTGGGGAAGGGGTTAAAGGAGAAAGAAAATGAAAAAGAAAGGAAAGGAAAAGGAAAGCCTCCTGCTGAAGCCATCTCCTGTTGTAGCTCCTTCCTTCTGTGTTCCATGTCTCTGATCTGTCAGAGTACAACTACACAGTTCCTTTTTATCTTAGTCTTGGTGAGAAAGACCTTACTGGAAAAAAACCTGACACAGGAAAAGGTTTATTAGCTCCTTTATGGTTAAACATTTTTATTACCTGCTTAAGAAATCTTTGTCTCCCTCAAAGATACTCTATTTTCTTCTAGGTTTATTGTTTTGCTTTTACATTTCTACCCACAATCCATCCATTTCTCCTCTTTCATAGGTAAGTATGCCTATATGCTTGATTCTTGTTCTCTGTTAAAACTCATCTGTTCATCAAAATATTTGTCCACTCCCATAAATAACAACCTCCTCTATATACATGACTCTCAAATATACATTTTTAGCACTCTCTTACTTAAGAGTCCAGTGCTAAATTTAAAAACATCTAGGTGAATCAAATTCATCTCTCCAAAAATAAACCTAAGGTCACCATACAAATCTTCCCACTAACAATCACATTTTTTCCTGTATACCATAGTAAGAACCACTAAGTCTTCTCTTTCCCATTCACTTACTATATCACATATCATCAAGTTTCCACGATAAATTCTTTGAAAGTATTACACATCAATTTCATCCTTTCTTCTCCATTCTTCTGATGCCATCCTAATCCAAAATTTAATTCTTACAATCCTTAGATTACCACAATCATTTTCTTAATTTTTTTGTTTCCTTATCCTGTCTCCTGATATTTTATATTATATTGCCAGTCCTATTTTCCTAAATGTGTATAATAATAAAAGTTAACACTTGTCAATGGGTAATTATGTCCTAGCCTAGTCCTTGTAACAATGGTATTATCCCCATTTTATAGTTAAGAAAACTGAAGCTCAGGTAATGTAAAAAACTTGTCTATTGGAAAAACATTAGAACAGAGACAAAAAAAAGAACTGAGGTGTGTCTACCTTTAGAATCAAAGTCTTATCACTACATTATAGTTTTTATCATAATATTTACATTAAGGAACACATACTGGCTTTTACTATCAACTATACAAGTGCAACTTTCTTTAGTTTTTAAGGCTCTCCATAATTTGGCCTTACCCCAGACTGGCTACATAATTTGTGGGGCCCAGTGCCAGATGAAATGAGTCTCCTTATTGCAAGTTTATTAAGAATTTCAAGACAGTAACAGCAAAGCTTGAAACCAAGCATGTGGCCCTGCTAAGCAGGGAGCTGTGTATGAGTGCACAGGCCACATGTCCATAAAGCCTGCCCTAGTGGCGCACCGTCCGTCTGATCTTGTATGTCACTAGTCCACTAAAGCTCTGCTGGATCCTTTCTGATCCTTCTTGTCATTTTTATTATTTTTTCCTCCATGTCTATTTTTCCTGGAATTTTGTCCCCTGTCTTCTGTGCTTGTCTATATACTAATAATCTTTTAGGGCCCAGCTAAATACCAACATTGTGCCAGACACCTTACATACTGTGTCTGATTTAATTCTTGGAACAATACTTAAAGAACAATATGCTCTAAAACTTTGGCAAGTTTTTAAGTTCTCACATTTTTGAACAAGTAGACACATTTTTTAAAGTTCTATTTATGATAGAGGGATAGGTCAAAGCAGATGTCAGCCTATCTTCTGAGAATTTTTCTGTTCCTCTTCTTGGAAATTAAAAACACACACCACATTATGGCTAGAATTTAGACAATGAAAATATATTGGTTTAAAATGACAATGAGCAGATATATGTTTTGATATTGAATGCTGCCCAGAAAGGTGGACCACAAATATAAGCACTGTTTTCTGTACCAAAGTAGCAGACATGCAATGAAACTGGATAAATGTCAATATTAATATGAAATGTATAAAAGAACTGTATACTTAGCAAAAAAATTGCCAATAATCTGCTTTACATTGTATTTTTAAGCAGATTAAACAGTGTAAATCTTAACCAATATCATTTAAAGTGTCTCCTCCTTTTGGGTATGTATTTACTTCTAGATATCAAATCTGAGGCACAAAATTCTTAAAAATTGCAATATCAAATGACAATTATTAATGGTAACATTGTTTCAGATAGCATAAAGTAAAAGCAAAAAAAATTATTAGAATACCTTAATGATTATATTTGAATAGCAAGGAACATATTAATACACTAATCTTATTATAAGACAAATATTTTGATTTGTAAACATGAACAAATTAAGTTGTTCAAAATATGCTTAAATTGGAGAAACATTGGCCAAATAGTTAATGAATAAAACTCTGGTATATAAATACTTTAAATATTTTCAAAAATTTGGAGAATGTTAAAGAAGTGTTAGAATATATAATAATACATATATGATACATATATATGAATGCATGTATATATACATACATACATATATATGTCAAATAAGAATTAAATGAAAGGATAGGATATTCAAACAGTGCCAAGATACCAACCTGCAGATTACAAAGAAAACTGTACCTTACAATGGAGTGATGTGGTGGTCAGCACCTTAACCAAGTGAACATATCACCAATAGTGGGAAAACCTGAAATTATATGGCTCCTGATGTGATATAATAAATAGACAATATCACTTACTAGTATTCTTGATAAATAATGTTTAACAAGAATCTAATCATGAGGCAACAATGACCTTGAATGTGGGACATTTTACTAGACATCTGCCTAGACTCTTCGGAAATCAAGTAGTAAGTTTTAGATTATACAAATGAGCTAAAAGCAAACAGCAAAAAGGTGGGGAGAATGCTCTGGATTCAGATTCAAAAAGGCATAATCAAAAGGAAAACATGGCCCTGGTTAGACTCTAAATTCAAAAAAGTCTCTGACTTTGGACTTTCAGACAGATATCTGACTATGGACTATATAATAAATGATTTTATGAAATTACTGTTCATTTTCTAAGGTGTGATATGTTATCAAGGTTATAACAGAGTGTGTGCTTCTTCTTAGGGGATTGTATGCTCAAGTATTTAGGGGTGAAGTGTTATGATGGTTCCAATTTACTTTCAAATAGTTGAGTACAAGAGGGTGTTTGCACAAACATAATGTTATATAACATGTTAACAACTGGTGAATTCAGGTAAAGCATATACATTATATTGTACTGATCTTTTGGTTATCTATAGGTTTGAAAAGTTATACAATAAAAAGTTGAGGGAAAAATTATAAATATTATTCTTTCTTCTTATTCAGGTTCAAAGGGATATGCCATTTTTCTCTCTCCTACAGAAAGGATGTGGAGTAGTGACAAACAAAGAATAATTTCTAGTGAAATTTTCAACTTTTGGAAAAAAACAGACTTTCTGGTAATGAGATATAATGTGAAAATTCAAGTTTCTCCCTAGTAACAAGATTTGCAGTGCCAAGAAGAAATTAATGAAAATATTCCAGGAAATAAGAAAACTTATGACAGTAAAATATACCTGGTTCTTATCTCTTAAATCTTCATAGTTGGTTCTTTTTATAGTTCAGGGACTTAATAACAGCAAATACTACCTAGGAAACCACTTATTAGGTGGTTCACCATCCAATGAAAGCATTGACAGGATTCTGCAAATTTAGACTCTTAGCGTAAGACAAAAGACACATAGGGGTTCCATGGATTGGCCTGAAGAAACACACAAACCCTTAAAAATTATTGATAAAATCGTGCATACATGTTGTTTTCAGGGCAGAGGGGTTGCAGTTTTCAGATCCTCAATAAGTCCTATGACTCAAAAAAGAACCACTGTGCCCAAGAAAAAATACTATTCGGTATCCAATTTTATGTGATGTCTACCAAAATACTAGGTACTGAAGATAATTTTTCCATAAGTTTCTTTTAGCTTTCTGACAATTAGTTTTAGGAGGAGTGCTTAAATAACATGTTTTAAGAAATTCATTTTTTAAAAATTCCGAAGACCATTTAAAATAAGGTGGGATCAGTGAACTAAAAAGGGTATTTTTTAAAAACAAAAATAGACAAACAAAAACAAAACAAAACTTACCTTTGAGGTGCTGTTTGTGAGCTTTTAAATACTGTTGCTTTAGGTCTATCAGACTTGGGAGATTGGCATTTCACTTCATCTTCATATAATTCTGCCAAGGCCAACTATAAAATAAGAGATTTGTTCTAAAGTGTAACACTAGAAATAAACTCTTCTACATAACTAGAAGTTATGACTTGAACATTAACTTGTAACTGAGTAGTAAAGGTTTCTAATGAAAAATGAAGGCTGCTCTTTCAGAAGATGACTCTTTCAAAATAAAACCATTGTATCTCTCATTTTGGGAAATGAACCAAAACGTCACATATACTAGAAAGTATTACTAATTGTTTAATTATTTTCAGTTTCAAAGCAGTATTTGGTAGCAGACCATTTTCAAAGTCAGATCTACATTTCTACAATTCTTTTAAAAATCTTAAAGATGTATCACACTAATGTCAGCTTGCTCTCTCATAAGATCTCTTAAAATTATTTCATTCAGTTGTTGAGTTTCAAAATCCAAGCAGATAAAACAATTTCAAAATAATTTATTTACAAGTCCACCAGGTAAAAATTTCATCAAGTTTAGGAAAATAAGCTTCTAGAAACAAAAGACAATGAATTATATTTATGGTATATGTAACTTTAGAATAGCAATATTACCAAATTATGCAGTGTGTGTGTGGGGGGGGGGCAGGATAGCTTCAAAATGAAATAAGACGTAATTCTTGAAATTAGAATTTTAAAAAGTTATCCAAATATTTTAGTATTGTCTAAGTTATTTGGTTCTCACTTCTGTCATCTTTGGACAACTCAAAAACTTTCCTTAATGCCCTTTATGGTTATTCAGTTATAACTGGCATGAGAACAATCTTTGGAAACTCTTTTGGGAAAAAAAAAAATCCAAAAAACCAGATAAAAAGCTCCTTCTAGAAATATGAGATATATAAAAACCACCTCTAGGGCTTCTTTCCTCAGAGGGAAAGAACAGGGAATTGGGGCAAAATTAATTCAAAAATACACACACAAGAAAACAAAAGGCTTTATTTTTCCTTATTTTTTTTACCCAACCCTTATGCACATACATCAATTCATATTTCTAACATGGCAATTTTGCTAGAAAATCTTAGCTTAGGCTCTTATTGTATAATCTTGAGCAAATGTTTATGTTCTCTGAGCCTTAATTCCCTGTCTTTAAACGTCTATAAAAAATTACCTTAGAGTTGTTTTAAGGATTACATCATGTATGTGAAGCACACGGGAAGCACTTCATTACGAGTATTATTTTAAAAACGGTTTAACAATGATTCTGTCACTGCCTCATTTTCCCCAAGGTTTCTTTTCTTCTTGCAGTGCTATCTCTGTATCTCCTATGGTCTTTTCCTACCCAATCCTCTCCAAAACAAATGAGTCAGAGAAAGCCAGAGTATTTGAGCTCCAAGTTTTTCTATCTCCCTGAAATCTCTTATTCCTTTATGGATTTCCTCTAGAGCTAATTATGTGATTTCAGATCTATGAATTACTTTTATACTATTCCTCTTCCCATCAATGGAAATGTTACCTGTATTTCAAAGCCCTATTTCAGTCATCCTTCAAGACTTCCTTTTTTCAAAAATAATTTTTTATTAAGGTATTACTGATACACACTTATGAAGGTTTCACATGAAAAAACAATGTGGTTACTACATTTACCCATATTATCAAGTCCCCACCCATACACCATTGCAGTCACTGTCCATCAGTGTAGTAAGATGCCACAGATTCACTATTAACCTTCTCTGTGCTACACTATCTTCTCCATGACACCTCACACCATGTGTACTAAACATAAAATTCCTCAATCCCCATCTCCCTCCCTCCCAACCCACCCTCTCACAATCCTCCCCTTTGATAACCGCTAGTCCCTTCTTGGAGTCTGTGAGTCTGCCACTGTTTTGTTACTTCAG